TGAGGGTTGCGATCCCGTGCCGGTCCGGTATGGGGGCAACACTGAGGGTTGCGATCCGTTGCCGGACACGGAAAAAGACAAAAGACAAAAAAAAAAAGAAAAACAAGTGAATAATTTTGCCTTTAATTCTTTTGTTTTTAAAGGGATTTTTTATTTAATGCAATTGAAACAATGCCATGTGTTAAGAAAAAAGCAGACTGGGCCCTGCAATGGATAGCAGATAGAAAATCTACTTTTGGTATGTAGCTCTATCTAATTTATATATGATCAAATTTGCCTTGGGTGATATGACACTATTTTACATGCTGTGATAATCAAAGTACCAGCAGGGAAAAGGGGTATAAGTGTTGCAATATGCACCTTTACTAGAATCATTATTCCTAATAATTATTCCTAATAATAAATTAGATACTGGTGGTAAAATAAAGCTTTTATCTATTCTATTTAATAAGTTGGAAGTTGAAAAGATGTCAGTGCATAATAACAAGTAAATAAGAGTTGGTCACATGACTAACAAAAGTATGATAGTAATCCACTTAAAAGTACCTGCTTTTAAGAATGTATATTTTAGGGATTTAAAGCAAGTCAAATCTTAACATTTTTCAAGGAACAAATACCTAGTTTCTGAGTAACTAAAGATTAGTGCAGTCAACCAGGACAAGAAAAAGTTTGCAATAACAGGCTTATTTTTCACAGATATGTTAAATGCAAACACCCTTCTGCATGAGTTCACATTTCATAACTTTTTTTTAAGGAATTGATAAACCTTGTACCTTATATGTTGTAGTTGCTTAATAAATATTTATTAAATTTAATTAAAATATTCATATATTTTATTTGAATAGCTCTAAGTACCCATCTTATTCTTATGTGTTTCTTAATTGGTGGTCTTTACTTTCTGGTTTTATTCATTAGGAGGGGAAGCAGTTCGCAAAATGTTTGGTCTCAGGCTTCATTGCACTCTTAAAAATTATCAAGAACCTCAAAGTGCTTTTATTTGTATGGTTATATCTATTGATATTTCCATATTAGAAATTAAAATCGAGAAAACTTAAAAACATTTATTAGTGCATTTTAAGATACCAGTAATTAACCCATTACATTTGAACACAAATAACTTATTTTTATGAAAAAACTCCACATTTTCCAAAAAATTAGTGAGACGAACAACATTCTTTTATATCTTATAAGTCTGACTTAATAGAAGATAGATGGAATATCATTTCTTCTTTTGCATTCAGTTTGTTGCAGTAAGTTGTTTTGGTTGAAGTATATGAATAATGTCTAGCCTCCCTCAAATATGTAGTTAGGAATGGGAGGAGTATTTTACTAGGCTTTTCAGATTATTGTGGATATGTCATGTAGCCTCTGGAAAATGTACTCTCGAGAGAATGGTAGTTAAAAAATATAAATAGTGTCTTAGTGTTATGAATATGGATGTGACCTCACATATCTCCTGGGTCTGTGGAATTCCCAAGTACAGTAAAAATATGGTATTATAATCTTACTGGACCGCTGTCATATGGACCACCATCATATATGTGGTCTGTCCTAGACCAAAATGTCATTATGTGGCACTTGACTCTGCTTCTCTCAAGTGTGTACAGTGTGGTGACATAATGGACTTGCAAATTATCTTTTAGGTTAGACCTATAATCATCCGCCAAGGATAGTGTTAAAAGGAGTTGGGCCATAATCTCAAAAGACACAATCCTGAACACCATAATCCCAAATGGAGATCCTGAAAAATCAAAATCCCTGAAGTCCAAAATCCTGACAATCACAGTCCCAAAAGATGAAAATTCCAAAAGTATAATTCTGGAAAAAATAATTCAAAAACATTTTAAAGACATTTATTTACATTTTTTAAAGGGGATTTACTTGAGGAACATATAAAAATACAATTCGTAGGCCACTTTACACAGTCAATTAGGCAATAATAACATACATATTTTTGCAAGCATAAACACTCTTGTACTAACAGTCGCACAGGTACAGCAGTTATGAGCAGAAAAACTGTATTCATTAAGAAATAGGTCAAAAAGCAAAATGTATAAACTCATATTACTATGGTTGGTAATTGTATGCACAAACCTTTATAACTACAGTCATCTGAAAGGCCGTGATGGACAACATAGGTCTTTTGACAAGATCAATCAAAAATTGTGATGGGTGATCACCGCATATGCAGTTGCCCAAAGAGAATAGATCTCAAGAAATTTTATCTTTCACAAGTGCAAACATATAAAAAGGACATCTCTTCATTTACTAAGGAAGTTTTAACATCTTTATGTACATGCACAATGCTTACACACAAAGTCAATGTTGTGATAATGCACTTTTGTGGAGTCAAATTTGCAAAAAATACATAAAACAAATTAGAACTCTGTAAAAGTCTTTTTTCAATTTATACCTCCAGTATTGGAAATGATATGAAGATGAAATACTTAGCTAAGTGAATTGTAAAAAATATGAGTTATGCTGAAATAATTTAAAAAAACACACTAATGCCTTCCCCAGAATTTGGCTTTCAGGATTTCAACATTTAGGATTTTAATGTGACTTTCAGGATTTTAGATGTTAAGAGATTTTAGACTTTTAGGGATTTTGATCATTCGGAATTTCAACATTGGGGATTATGGTGTTTCGGATTGTATCTTTTGGAATTTTGGTTGGCACCGGTGTTACAGATATGCCACTGTAAATTTTTTAGGAGATGGGCTTCTGCAAAGTTTTTGCCTAATAGTGAGTAACCTTTGAAATTGTCCCTTACATGTTTAGCAGAAGACAGTATTTTTTCCTATGTGATGGGACATTTTATCCAATAGATATATTTATTATCTTCAGGTGGGTTTATCTACTTTTTAAAAATTGCAGATGCATGGCAGTGTTTTGGGAAATGTTTACAGCTAGTCTGTAAAATACCATAGGTTTCTAAAAATATAAATCTCAGCAATCTCCTCTAGTCCCAGAGGAAGACATTTGTCCATCTTCTACTTTCTACTCCCATACACTCATACATATGCGCAGTATAACACACTGCATTCATACGTATGCACCTACACACACAGGCACATATGGTACATAGGCAAATCACCTCTTTTTTTGAGTATGGAAAGCCATCCTTTGTTCAGACACCAGTACCTACAGGAGTCCATTGTTTGATGTAGGATTTGAAGTAGACATACATTTCTAGTAGGTTGGAAGTGGAAAATTTCTTTGTCTGAAGACCCTTGGCCATGGCACTAACTTGTTTATTTTGTTTCTTGGTAAAATAGTTGTGGTATTGTAAAAAATAAAAATCTATATCTATATAAACTTGCAAATGTCTGCAATGTGATATTTCAGAAAGTGAAACTATTTTATGTCTTTCAGGGGAAAGGATTGTGGCCTTTGCTGCTGTTGAAGGAATTTTCTTCTCGGGATCTTTTGCTGCTATATTCTGGCTAAAGAAGAGAGGACTTATGCCAGGACTCACTTTTTCCAATGAACTCATCAGCAGAGATGAAGTAAGGAATGAAGGTTTTTTTCTAGTTATATTTGTATTTATATTTGGTGTTCATTTGTTTTTCTTTCCCTTGGAAAATACTCATGGTGACACAAGTATCTTGGTAATTAAAAGAAAAATAGGAAGTCATTTCTTCTTTGGCATTTAAGATACTTCATTTTCCTCCTATGTCTCTTACCATTCTTAGTTTCCTCTGCTCATCCTTAAATATTGATGTTCTCCTGGATTTTTGCCTTGGCCGCACTCCTTCACTGTATATGACTTCCTGGCTGATCTTCTTTGTTCCAAGGAATCAGCTACCATCTAAAGGCTCATAACTCCCAGAACCTAGTATCTTTATCCCAGATATTCTTTCCTGAGCTCCAAACCCATATATTCAAGTACATTTAGACGTTTTCTGTTGGAAGGCTCTCCAGGTATCTCAAACCTAATATTTCAGAAACCAAACCCATCATCTTTCTACCAAAACTTGATTTTCCTTCTGTTTTCCCTATCTCTTGAGTGTCACTATCTTTCTATACATCATTCAATTTGAAATCTGGGAGTCATTTAAGATTGCTTCTTTTCCTTCTCAGCCACATCCAGTCACTAACTAAATCTTGCCTCCCTCTGCCTACAATGCCCTTTCCATCTCTGCTACCTCCTTTTTTCTTTTCTTTTTTTTTTTTTGCCTTTTTATCATCTCACAAGAAGCAACTCAGAACTTTCCTGAACCACTTAGGTAAAATTGACCACTCTTTTCTTTATGTATCCCTTTGATATCTGAACTGGTCCCTGTCTTAGAGTCCATAATATATATTGTGCTTCTTATTTCTCTCCTCTGCTAGACTCTAAGCAACTTAGTGCAGATACCTTGTCTTTTTTTTTTTTGGTGACTGGCCAGTATAGGGATCCAGATGAGACCTTGTCATATTTATCTTCTTGTTTTCAATATTTAGTGCATTACAGTAATTCAGTTCACATGTACTGACTACATTAATTATGGCTCCTCAGCTTATTTCTAAGTAACCTTGTCAAGTTACTTAACTTCTCTGAGCCTTAGTTTCTTCGACTATAAGCCTTAACAGGATTTTGTTAGAATGCAATGAAACACTATATGTGAATAATTTGTGCCAGAAATGCTTCGTATATTTACTTTTTGCTGTTTCATGTCTTTAAATTTCTAATAACATTTATTGTAAATGTCATAAGTGATGATTAGAGAGAATTAAGAAAATTAAAAAATCACTCAATCTCAACACACAGAGATAACCATGTTTACTATTGTATTGTATTTCTTTCTAAACTTTTCTTTTACATTTAAATCTATGTAGATATATAAGCATAATATTTTCACAATTCATATTTTTATGAGTCGAGATGTTCTTTTCCACTTAGCAAACTATTGTGAGCATTTCTCTATGATATTAAGCATTTTTTTGTAAATAGTAGTTTTGTTAGATATGTAATATTCTAATGAATGAATGTATCATTTATTTGACTATTCTATAATCAGAAATTTATGTTGTTTCCAGCTTTTTGTTTATTTGTGCTATAATGTAAAATGAATATCTTTGTATATAAGTTTTCTGCCAACTTTACATTATTTTCCTAAGCTTGATCACAAAAAGTAGAATGAGTAGGTAATAAGGCCATTCATATTTGCAGATTTCTTTAGAAAATTTATAGCAATTTTCAGTCCCACCTAGCAATGTATGAACATTTTCTTATACCCTCACTAGAATTTGGATTAATTTGCTAAATATTTGATAAATTTGATAGAGGTAATTGGTATCTCATTATTGGTTTTACTTGCGTTTATTTGCTTAGATTGAACTTTTTTTTGGTAATGATATTAGTCATTTGTATTTTTTCTGTAGTTACCTGTTCATGTCTTTTGCCTTTATTCCTGTTGTGATATTAATGTTTTCCTTATTTAATTGTAAATGCTTTCAATATTTTAAGGTTATTTATGGAGTAGTCTATAATCCTTGAAGAAGTCATACTTGCTCTGTTCACTGGTATATTCCAAATGTACAATGACTGATTGGGTTCTTTCAACAAGTACTTATTTGATTGTTATATTAATTGCATAAATATAATATATGAATTTTGTTACATTGATTTAAAATATTTTACCGATTTGTCTTTTGTTTTTTAATTTTGTTTGTTCTTTTAACATGCAAAATCTTAAATTTTATGTGATCCACCTCCAGAGATAAGTTAAATAGTCACACGTATTTTTTTCTTCACTTTTTAACATTTAACTCTCTAATGCAATTTTTTTACAATGTTTGGAATTTGTTTAGTATAAGTATAGAATTTGGTGTAAATACAGTGTAGTATAGAATAAGTTAGAATTTAACTAAATTTTATTTCAAACACTTTTGGGAAGTTTTTTCAGTTCTCTTTAGGTAATTCATCCTTTCTTCATTGACTTGTGTTTTCTTCTTTATTATAGTTTAAGGTTTTGTTATACTGAAATATGTTTCAAGGCTATTTTTCCTGCCTCATTGACCTATCTGTCAGATTTCAGGCCGTAACAAACTTTTTTTTTTTTTTTTTTTTAAGATGACCGATAAGGGGATCTTAACCCTTGACTTGGGGTTGTCAGCACCACGCTCACCCAGTGAGCAAACCGGCCATCCCTATGTGGGATCCGAACCCGTGGCCTTGGTGTTATCAGCACCGCACTCTCCCGAGTGAGCCACAGGCCGGCCCCGTAACAAACTATTTTAATTATTATAGTTTTATATGTTCTAATAATTATTAGGATAAATCTCAAAACTTTCTTTTTTAAAGTGTCTTTACAATGGTCTGCCCATTTATTCTTCCAGATTAAATTTTGAATTAAAAACAATTCAAATGGGCTTTTGACTGGTATTGCTTTAAACCTCAAAATTAACTTTATTTACTGATTTAGGAATTATGAGTGCTTACCTTTCTTTTTTTTTTTTTTTTTTTTTTTTTTTATAAGTGCCTACCTTTGATTTACTTGTCTTTGTAATAAGCAGCTTGCTGTCAGTTCTAATCAACACTTTCTTTAACGTCTTTCAGCAGTTTCTTTAGAATGCAGCCTTTGGTAATTTGAAGTATCCCCTTGAGTCAAGTCTAGGAATGTTTCACTAGTATATTTTCTAAAATTAGCTGTTCAAAGAGGGGTTTTGGGTTTGTTTCTTTTCTTTCTTTCTTTCTTTCTTTTTTTTTTTTTTGATGGTTTCTTCTGGGAATGACAATTTAACTAGGTAAATAATCTTCGGAATACAACCTTTTATTTGAGGTCTCATGTTTGAATTGTCTTTGGGTTTTTGTTGATTCATTTAGAAAAATCTAACAACTCTGATTTGTAATCCGTTAAAGTGTTTTCCTTTAAGGGATCTGTTCCTCTTCCCATCCTCCCTCCTTGGTTGCTTACAAAATTATTTTTCTTTGTAGTTTAGAAGTGTTAATTGGCTCTACCTTGGTGTCAGTCTCTAACTGTTAATTTTGTTGGGAATTCCATCGTCTTTCTATATCTGACCTCTTTCTCTTTTTTCATTTTGAATTTTTGAAAATTTTCTCCTGTTCTTTTGATTTTCCACTTTATACCATCTAATCTGATTTTTGGAATCCTGACTACGGTAGGTTGAATCTCCTTGGTCTGTTCTCCAGTCACGTAAGATCTATAACATTTATTATATTTGCATAACCATTCTATTTTCAGGTTTATTTTACAAGTTTATTTTCTTCTCTGGTTGAGTTATCTGCAATGTTATTTCTACTTTATATGGTATTCTTCATTCTTTCCATTTTCATTGTGCTGAATTCATTTTTATCGTGAGCTATTCTTATTTGATATAAATGTTGTTTTTGAAATCTCTCTGACATCTGTTCTTTAAATACTACTTATTATTTTTCAATTATTCCTTAATTTTTTGACATTTAAAAAATGATGAATTTTTGTTTCCTTTCCAAAATGCTTTTGGTTATAGATTTTGCTTGTGTAAATTAATTCTTCTTTGATGCTGATGAACTAAGATTTGCTGGCGTCGAAAAATTTTCTTTATAGTTTATTATATCGGCATTTAATGAGATTTGAAGAAAATAAGTTCCTGGCCATATTAATCCCTTTTTTATCTTCCAGATGTTCTATGTTGCATTCCTAGAACCAACGTTATATGTTGCTCGACATATCACTGTGTGCAAGTAGCTGAATACAAGTTCGTTGACAGTGACATTTTTCTTCTATTTAGGGACTTCACTGTGACTTTGCTTGTCTGATGTTTCGATACTTAGTAAATAAGCCTTCAGAAGAAAGGGTCAGGGAGATCATTGTTAATGCTGTTGAAATTGAGCAGGTAAGTAGGGAGGTTTATGCAGTTAGCACATCTGTCTGATGACTCATATGAAATTGTCATTTTGTAGGTCAAAACAAATATCTGAAATTCTGTACGGTCAATCTGACAGTACCAATACATGATGTATTGCAATTATTTAAGCCAGTTTATAATTTGGCATGTAAGTCAGTATTTATTATATATTAAGTTTTTATGTATACTAAAATCTGTTTCAGGTCTGTTTTTCTGTCTCTTTTAATCTATCGGTCAAATTTCTTGCCATTATGAACTATTTTAATTATTGTAGCTTTGTATTTTTAGATTTTTAGCTACTGGAGAGCAGTGATGATTTTTTATTTGTTTTGTATTCTCAGTAACCTAGCAGGGTATGTAGCTCGAAGCATGCACCAAAATATTTATAGAACGAATAAATGATGAATTAATGAATAGTAAAACTTAATTTGTAGCATGTAAAGATTGTTGACTAGAAAGAGTTAGATGTGTTTTTATCATTCTAAAGAACTAATTTAAAAATAAAATTTTTTTAAACTTTTTTTTTTTGAACACTACATAGTTTAACAGGCATAGTTTTCATATTGGGAAGGGGAAAAGGCATAAAATGCATTTTGGTATTTTTAATCATTTTGAGAACTAAATCCAAGTGATTAATGTGTTTTTGTTTTTTCTCTATTAACACACTGTCTTTTAATAGTTGGAGTTCAATCTGTCTCCCAACTCCCAGATCCATTCCTATTTTTTTTCTCATATTCTTTGTTAATTGAGTTTGATCTCTTTTTCAACTCCCTTCCATAGTCATGCTCCCCATGACAATCATCTTTGGTGAATCTTCTTCTAGATATTTCAGATCAAAGCATCTCCCTTCTTCTGTTGAGAAAGCACATTAATTCAGGTCCTATGTGTGCCACTTTTAAAAATCCAGTAATCTGGTAGTTTCCATTTATTTTGGCTCTTTGGGAATGTGAAATAATGTGAATAGTATTACCTCAAACATTTTTTTGTTTGTTTGTTTCTTTTTTTGTGACTGGTAAGGGGATTGCAACCCTTGGCTTGGTGTCGCCCACACCACGCTCAGCCAGTGAGCGCACCGGCCATCCCTATATAGGATCCGAACCCGCGGCGGGAGCGCCGCACTCTCTCGAGTGAGCGACGGGGTCGGCCCTTACCTCAAACATTTTTAAACAAATGAACATCATTTGCCACAATGAAAGAACTTTTCTGCTATACTTTCCTTGAACAAAATCGATGTCTTAGAATATTATTAAAGCTAAAACCCTCTTTCTGTTTGGAAAATGCATACTTATTTAGTGCTCTGTCTTTTTACTTTATTCTGGTTTTGTTTCTATCCCAGGAGTTTTTAACAGAAGCCTTGCCTGTTGGCCTCATTGGAATGAATTGCATTTTGATGAAACAGTACATTGAGTTTGTAGCTGACAGATTATTTGTGGAACTTGGATTCTCAAAAGTAAGGTGTTTAAAAATGTATTACTACTAGTTAATATGTTATAGTCAAGTAAGGCCTCTAAAATCAATTTTAATGAAAGCATTTGTAACACACTATATTCTACTTTTAAGACGTCCATGACAGAGACTTGTTTTGTATGAACAAATTGGTTTGGGAAAATCCTTTGAACCTTAAAATGAAATTCAATAACAGAAGTAGGAGGCTGATAAATATTGGAACCAATAAGCTCAGTAAATTACTTTATAATAATAACATGTATATATTTAATAGAATTATTTTCAAGTAATTGGATTTAATATACATATATATGTTTACCCTTATATAAATCCCCATGTGTCTATATTATAATTTTGGTGTTAATACTTTTTTTTTTTTTTTTTTTTGTCGCTGTTACAGGGAACTGAACCCTTGACCTTGGTGTTACAAGGCTATGCTCTAACCAACTGAGCTAACTAACCAGCCCACATATATATATTTGTACCTGTATGGAGGTATTTCTGCTAGAGCCCTAAAAGGGATTCATTGGTCAAAAGATATGAGCCTTTTTTATGTAATAGCTATTTCCAAATTTTCCTAAAAATTAAAACTCTCTGTCAATTTATGCTGCCAAATAAGAATTTAAGAAAATACCTATTTCCCTTCCCCTAGCCAATATGGACAATTATCCATACTTTTAATATATGGAATACTGATACCTGAAAAATTATATCTAATTTTTTATTAGAAATCACACACGTACACATATAACTCCTATATATAACAACAAAGAATATTGTATTCCTAATCAGAATGACTATAAATCCTTGCTGATAAACAAAGTCTTGTTAATCCCATGGAGTATTATTACCCTTTCCATTAATATTAGATACTGTCACCTAGAAAGAAATGACAGGCAGTCTTGAGAAGCTTTCAGGGCCACTGTAAACAGTTGCACTGGCTATGCATACACAACTCTAGGGGGCACCATTCATCTAGTCTAAGATCTGTATGAATAAAGATACAGCCTGCACCCCTACACGGTGACCACATGAAAAGCTGCTTCATTGAGAATCCAGACCAACATCCTCTTAAATAATTGTCTTATAGCTCAAAGTTAAAGCTCCTTTTTCTCTTAGTTCCATAGAGCCAACCCCTACCAAAGACCCAACAAACCAAGCTATGTTGCATGTGATGTCCACTTGGCAAAAAGTTGGGCAAATTAATCCTTGTAAGACACTATTCATTAGTATCTAAAAGATCTTTGTCCCATTTGTTCAGCCAAAGGGCATAACATTAAAATGGCATGATCTCTCTTGACATACAAAAGTAGTTATTAATTTGCACTCATTATCTAAAGATGTTTGCCAGTAGCCTTTGGATATGTCTCTGGTGTGCACATATGGTGCTTGACAGAGAAGATCCCGGGAGTTGTCAATGACTACAGGTGACACCATTTAATCTGAACTACTCATCTATAGATGGAGTTTACTCAGGGCTTCAGATACAATTATGCAGCTGGCAAAACTGACAAGCAGGAAGTGGTGCTTTCAATTAATTTCAATAAACATTCTCTCCCCCCTCACCCTGGTATTCCTGAAATGATCTCCTTCAGGCCAGATCATGTGCATGGTCGGGACAGGTATAACAGTGTGGTGTCTCGTGTAAGAGTGACTAGCCAAAGAAGGAACAAATATTCATTTTCCTCATCTCGCTTTATCACGCATATCCGGTTGCCATCCACACTGCCCCCGTTTTCTGGAGGCTTTGCTGGTGTTCTGCATCAGTCTGGATGACTGTGTCATTAACACCATGATTCATAAAGCAAAACCCATTTCCTTCAAGATCAGTCTATATTTATGACAGCTTTTGCATTCCAAATATTACTATTTCTTCCTTAAAATTTCCTTCTGTTATTTCTTCTTTGCGACAGAATAGCAGAAACAGCGTAGCAGAAACCCAATTTTTCAAGAACTGCCCAGCCAGATTGGATTAAATCTTGTAATTAGCCTTCAATTTGCATCTCACAACAGGACATTCATTGTTGCAACCGCAACTTCAGTGGACTTGGTAGAATAAACTATTGTTGAAGTAATTCCTGTAAAAGGTCATATATTTAAACCCTTCAATTTTTCTTGACAACCTCTCAGAAATGAGTGATACAGTTGCTCCAGTGTCCAAAAAAGCAATAATGTCCATACCACTTTTCTTTATAGGCAGGGTGGAATATTATTACCCCATTTATCACAGCTATTCTGGTTATAAAGTACGTTTCTTGATATTTGAGAGACCTTTTCCTTTTGCTGTCTCGAAAAAGCTGAAGGTCTCGTGTGCTGGGTGTCAGCCTGGTAGTTTTCTCGTAATATGCCAACTTCTTCAGTTGCTCCTCAACAACGGCGACACTTAGCAATTTCCACTGAATTCCATCTCCTTAAGAGCAGACAGCTAGGAGGTTAGTTTAAGATCTCTCCTCCTTTTCGATCAGGAGTCACTCTGTGGTCCTACTAGAAGCAGGGGATGGACTTTGGGGTCAAACACAAAGGCCTGCTTGGGCCAGAAGTTAAAGTACATACAAGGGTACTTCAAAAAGTTCATGGAAAAAATAGAACTGAAAGATAATACCAATCTTTTCATGAACTTTTTGAAGAGCCCTTGTATGTGTAGAAGAGGCAGAAGATAACAGAGAGAGGTAAAGCCTGATACTCTAGACTATGAAAATCCCTCCTGAAAGCATTAAAATTCAACTTTACAAAATAGTGCAGTTCAAATCAAACAAGAGGATGTACAGATTCAGCCTCCAGCTGCCATTTTGAGGCACTGGATTAAGCAACTTCTCAAAAGCTTTGCTTTTGCAATGAATATGCCTTATGAACCCCACAGTTTTTAAAACACAATGTAGTTTGTTTCCAGGGTCTAAATTTCTGTCTTTTCACCAACTCTGACCCATCGGTGTTGGTTTAACTCAAGTTATAGATACCCTTTGATTATGTGTAAGGGGATCTTAATCCTTGGCTTGGTGTTGTCAGCACCACGCTCAGCCAGTGAGCAAACTGGCCATCCCTATATAGGATCCGAACCTGTGGCCTTGGTGTTATCAGCACTGCACTATCCTGAGTGAGCCATGGGCTGGCCCTGCCAAAGAATATTCTAAGAGCATTTAGCCTCTCTAGATATTTTGTGGGGGGATAAAAGGGATTCCGTAGTCAGATAAGTTTGAGAAATGCTGTATACTCTGTTCCTCTTCAGGATGTACAGTCAGTACATCAAAGACTGAGCTATTCTGCAGTATCTAAACTTCTCATCCTGCATAGTCCTAACTTACATAACATAGATCTGTTTTAACCTGTTATCTCACCCAGCTAGTGTTTCTCAGAACATAAATTGGAAAAATCTGACCTAGAACCATTTATACATAGAAGAAGGGCTTATGGACTAAGAAAGGGAGAACGTGGTAGGGATTTTTGAACCATTTCAAATTTGTACCAAGTGAGTAATGTACTTATAATTGATTTCAGCTGCATTTCTTTATACTCTAACACTCTTTTATACTGTTATAAGATATAGTTCTTTTTATGGAACTATATATGCTCCACAGTAGCAGATGGTGAGGGAGATAGAGGTGTCTCTAGAGGAGACTGAGAAAAGGCCAGAAGCCAAGGTTTCTAAGAAGTCTGCCCCTTCTTTACTTTTAGAAAGTGTCAAGAGATAACCTGAGCCCTATATTTATAAAATTCTGGAAGCTCAAATTCAGAGTTTTTTCTTTTCACATAATTTTTTGCTCCATTATTTCTACAACTATCTAATTGATCAAAACTGGGAATTCTCAAGCGAATGTGAAAGGGGCAGGCCATAACTTTATTAGAATGTTAGAAACTTGAGATATTTGGTCTGTGATAATTCTCTTTATTTGTTCAGTGCTTCACAGTTTGTCAAGTGTTTTTACATAATCTCATTTGATCTCATAATAGCCTTGTAAGCTTGACAGAATAGCTATTATTGAAATATTATAGATGGAGAGAGTGAGGCTTAGAGAAGTTCAAGATCTGCTCATAGTCCCTGTCCCTACAATATAATTTTTTTTGGAAGTTGTGATTGTCTCTAATATTTAGTCCTTTGCCGTCTATCTTGATTTGATTTTGACTATTTCCTCATTAACTGAAGTATCATGTAGTAGTATCATATACTTTGTGTCATATACCTTAATTAAAGTATCAAAATATCATAGAGAAACATTTGAACTATATTCAGATAATATGTTCAAAGGTATTTATCAAGTGGTAGACAAAAACTTAACACTTAAAACTGATAATATCTGTAATGACACTGGAATGAAAGAAAAAAGTTTTACAGTGCATATTCCCTTTGTTTTGAATCCATATTGTCTGATGGGTATTGACAGTTGCCTTAATGCGAATCTTGTTTATAATAGCAGTAAACCTAACTGTATTTGAATGAAGAAGTCTTAATACTGAAATCTTGTATTTTTAATACACTGGTTTATTATATTAGGTATTCTGTACCCTTTTCCAGACCTCCAGGTTGCACATTTATTTATTATGTTCAGTACTTTGGTTCTTAGTCTTTAAAGAATCGAGAAGTTGTGGGATATCTTTTTAGTATTATCTCACAGGTAAAGAAAAAAATTGAGTGTATTTACTACTGTTTTCTCTTTTTTATAGCACCTGTATTTAAATCATTGCCGTAGTAGTTAAAGTTAAATTTATTATTTAAGAATATAAAAACTTGTAGTTCTATGATGGACTGCGTTTATTAAAAATGTTTAGTTGTAGCACATGGAATCATGAACTGGAAGGACTTGGGAAGACAGCTTGATCCAATCCAATCTGAGTTTTACAGTCCAGTTATATACAATAATAAACAATTATTCTTACAGTATAAGCTGACCCCAGCCATGTCTCGATATATGAAACTTTTACAGTTGTCTCATTTTGGAACATCCATATTTTTCTGCTGCTTTTGCCATTTTATCTTTTCTTTGTGCATGGAAATAATGATTATTGAAA